ACAAAATATTCAGCCTCCTAGCTAGCTATGAGACAATTTGGGTTGGCTTAGATTGCGGGCTGTTCCAGCACAGCCTACATGCACTCTCTAACACACCACACACTGCCAGAGAAGACCTAAATTATGCCCCAGGTGGGGAAAGCTTATGGCCAGTGCTTTACCCACTGCATACTGGTACATAGCCCTACCACTACCATCACACTCGGTGAGAGAGGGACTATGAATTGTTGTTTGTAAGACAAAACAGAAAATATTGGTAAACTCTTTCACTGATCCTGTAACATGACATGATCACTGTCAGACTGGTGTGATACTACGTGAAGGTGATGTTATCATCTAAAACTGCCTTTTTCATGGGGTGTAAAAAACCTTGTGAATTACGTGTCTGTATTGAAAGGAACAGGTTTTTTAAAATAATACTTGAAATAGTTTCCTCTTTGAGTAGCCCTCTCCACTACATAAGCTTCATTGGCACTCCATAGTGCCTACCTTGATATAATGCAGAAAGAAGCTAGCAACATGACCGAACTCTAGATACAAAAATAGTTGAACCACCAAAGAATTATGAACATCACACCCCCATATAATTACATAAACAGAAACAAAAAAAGAGAAATACCATGGGGCTTTTTGTGGCGTTCATATACGGATGGTAAAGGATAAAATACAATATTTATTAAAATTACATGATTATGAAATATAAATAAGATCAGGCAGAAAACAGAGTCCAGAAACAATCCTATCCCATAGCACAAGGCCTCCCTGGATCACATATGCACATTTCATCTTATTCTATTAAAAAGATGCTAGGCTTTATCAATGTCCATAATTAATACTTGCAGTAATATTCCACTTTGCTTCATGCTTATGAAAAGTGCTGTGAATCCAGCCTTCGACGCATTTCGTCAAGCAGCAAGTTTTGGGAGATCATTTATGAAATTTCTCTATTAATCAAACATAAATTAATATAACCTAATAAAGATACATGATTGAGACATCTAGTTCTAACACAATATAATAAGATAAATACCAATTATTCTGGCAAGTGGTGGTACCTGCCCACTGATCCAGAGACTAGCCCCCGTATCCCCAGGGAAGAGAGGTAGGAATAGGACATGCACAGGCGGCCGAGAAATAGGTATATACTGAGGATCACTCAAGTCTCCTAACAGAAATTTAATATTGTCATGACCAATGTAATCACAATAGATAAGTGCTCTTGTATTGTATCTAAAAAACTGCCCTATTGGTACCGTCAAAAAACTATCATACATATGTCCATATCTATATTATCAATGCGAGGTGTAAATCCAAACCTTTGCAGATCAAAAATATTCCATTTATTTAATTAAATTAATAGTGCTATCAACAAATATCGGGTAGATAAAACGAACAAGAAAGGATCCACTTATTTATATATAATCCTAATAAGCTGTACACATACCTTTGTGGTCATAAATTCTAGATAGTTACTTAGTAATGGTGTGTATGGTTTGAACTGCTTGCAGTTTCATTGGATAGATAAATTCACACAGATGATATTGAGGACACTTCTTAGGACTACACAACAGTGGTCTAGGTAAATAGCATGCATACTTTACAACCACTACTGAGCCATATGCCCCTGGTGGGCCTAAAAAGCTGGATCAGAGTCTGATGGCACCACTGTAAGCTGCAATTTATTACAGAGTCAAGAGGAGAGGAAATACATTAAATTCAATACTTACTACTTAACACCAATTACAAAACCTGCTGATATCCTTTAACTACATTGTAAGTAAACACTCTCCTCAGTATCTATAATGTAGTGACGTGTAATAAAATATGCCTAATTGGATAGAAGGACTGTGATAAGATATTAACAGTGGTAGTTGCTTGTATTGGCTCACGGGTATCTCATCAGGGAAAACTGATTAAATCAAGGCTTATTTAGGTAGAATTGTAATTGATTGTAAAGGAATGGTAAAATAAGTCTCTGTGTAACTATGAGCTTCTGTTCCCTACACATCTAGTCGGCATTTAATGCAGCTTCGTTAGCTTGTAGGCATGTGGAGTTTAAATACTGTCTGCAATCTGGTGCCATGCTGATTTGCTAATCCTCGATCTTAGCTGAACATGATCACAGGACTTGCTTCTGTTCTTAGGGGATAGGCTTACTGTTAATTGACATAGTCTGGCTACTTCCCAGAAGAACTGTAATGTAGAAAAGGGAAGAACTAATACAGTAACAGTGAGCCAGGCTGCTTCATTTAGATGGAAATAAAGTCCTTCTCTTAATGAATATTGACACAGTTGCAACTCATTCCTCTTGCTTCGTGGCTTGATGCGATTAAACTGTATTTTAACAGAAACAATCCATTTATTTAGAGAAAGTCAAGTTCAATTACATTTTCATTTATGTGTCTATAATGATGTATATTTAAAATAGAGATTTGTTTTTTAGACATTCATTGTAGTCTACATACAAAAAAGAAAAGCCCCTACTGGCTCCAAAAAGTCTCACTATGGTTTCAAATCTCCTACAGAATGACATATCTGGAGGAACGTGCAGCATCACCTTTTTAAAAGATATGGTATTCACATATTATCACTTGATTATAAATCCATAATAGAATCCTCATTTTCGGATAGTAGGCAAAGGCATTGAAATTATCATTTCATGTCCCTGTGGCCAGCTGTGCATTGTGAAACTTTGGTTATAGTACACATATAGCTTAAATATAGAGGCATTTACTAACCCTGCATACAGCTGTTTTAAATTATTTAACTCCGTAGAGTAATTAGTGGAATTCTACCTTCTAAGGTGCTTGGTTCTGGAATAACAAGACAGGTATACTTTGAAATTACAGGAGTACTGTGTTGTTTTTGATTTTTTAAGTTTTATTTATTTTACTATTCTTTATTTTTAACACCTTTTTTTCACTTAACTTATTAATATCACAAGGGTGCCAACAAGCCCCTAAGTGACAACATTCTCAGAAAACAACCCCACACCATAATCCCCCCTCCACCAAATTGCACACTTGGCACAATGCAGGCAGGCAAGTACCATTCTCCTGCCAACCACCAAACCCAGAAACGTCCATCGGATTGCCAGACAGAGAAGCGTGAGTCCAGTGGCGGCGTGCCTTACACCACTGCATCCGACGCTTTGCATTGCACTTGGTGATGTAAGGCTTGGATGCAGCTGCTCGGCCATGGAAACCCATTCCATGAAGCTCTTTACGCACTGTTGTTGTGCCAGTTTCTTACACCTCTCTACAGGAATTTTGGACCACTCTTCTTTCTCCAACTGCTCCAGGGTTTTGCAGATTAGAAGGATTCCTTTTCCCAACTGTCACGATTTGGGAACTGGAGCACCAGGAACAGTAAACTCTGGGTATTGCAGAGCAGTATATATGACTGAATTAGGAATGTGCAGGGATACAGGTCTCTGAAGATGCAGGACAGTGTGACCGTACAACAAACGCAGTTGTGCCAGAGTCGAAGGATCTACGGAGCCACCTGGTCTTCACCAGAGCCACTGATGGTGTGGATGTTGAGCTGCGGGGCAGCTCCCAGGTTGAGGCTCTCTGACACAACCGTGCAGGCACAGTGCCAGCGGGTACTCGGGGACTACAGCAAACTGGATAAGACACAGGGTACATACAGGATACAAGGTACAGAAAAGAAGCACTAGGGAGAAGACGCAGGGAACATGCGCGACACAGGGAGCAGATAACAAGGGAACACACAACAGGTGTGCCCACAGGGACAAAAGATACACAGAAACACTAGAGGAGAATGCACAGGAGAAAGGAGGGAAGTGCACTATAGTGCAAAGCAAAATAGCCACAGAAAGCAAGAGCAGGAGGCAAACCACAAAACAGAGCTATCCTGGATAAAAGAGGAGCGAGGCTGCACGGACAAACAGCCACACAGGAGGAAGGCAGACTCACAGGAAGCAGGATCTCACAGGGTGCACAAGGATATCACAGGAAATACAAACAACAAAGTAGGTAAATGTCAATCCACAGGAATCCAAGGCAAATAGTACACAGGGGGTCTGGTAACAACTTGTTGCTTGAATGTCAGGCAACAAGTGAGCTAAACATTTAACACTGAGGTTCAGCATAGATTGGCAGGGAGTCGAGCATCTGGGACAGGAGGCAAAAACCGACTCCGGATCATGGCACAGGGAAGTGTGACAACAACTGGTGTTTTGAGATCTCTCCACAGGTGCTCTATGGCAGTGTTCCCCAACCCACGGTCCGCGGACCGGTACCGGTCCGCGGACCAAATGGTACCGGGCTGCACAGTCTCAGTGCGGTCCGGTCATGCAATATATGGCAGTGCGCGGTCCCGGTGTTCGAACACCGGGGCCCCGCACTGCCGAAGTGATAAAAAGGTTGGGGAGCACTGCTCTATGGGATTCAGATCTGAACTCATTGCTGGCTTTAGGTCATTGTCCTGCTGTAAGACCCATGACCTCTGACAGAGACCCAACTTTCTGAGACTGGGCCCTACATTGCACCCCAGAACTCTTTCGTAGTCTTCAGATTTCATAATGCCATGCACAAAGTCAAGGCATCTAGTGCCTGAAGCAGCAAAGCACCCACAAAACATAAGTGAACCTCCACCATGTCTTGACTGTAGGGACTGTATTTTTTTCTTTAAAGGCCTCATTTCTTTTTCTGAAAACAGTAGAATGATGGGCTTTACCAAAAAGCTGTCATTTTGTTTCATCTGTCCACAGCACATTCTCCCAATAGGATTTTGGCTTTCTCAGGTAAATTTTGTCAAACTCCAATCTGGCTTTTTTATGTTTCTGTGTCAGCAGTGGGGTCCTCCTGGGTCTCCTACCATAGCGTCCCTTTTCATTCAGATGGCGACAGATAGTGCGAGCTGACACAGTTGTACCCTGTGCCTGAAGGTCAGATTGAATTCGTCTGGAAGTTGATCGAGGGTCTTTATCGACCATTCAAACAATCCTTTGTTATCTCTGATCAATTGTTCTCTTTCGTCCACATCCAGTGAGATTAGCTACAGTGCCATGGGCTGTAAACTTCTTGACAATGTTGCGCACAGTGGACACATGAACATTAAGATCTCTTGAGATTGACTTGTAACCTTGAGATTGTTCATGCTTTTCCACAAAAACTTGGAATGCAATTATTTCTTGCAATTTGGAGTTTTGTGAGGAATTTGTCAGATTTGGCTTCTTTTTCTCCGCTTTGTTGTGTCATACCAATACAAACAAAATAAATGAACATGAGAATGCCTAAACATTTGTAATTGCAACAATTTTCTGCACAAAGTGGTGCATTATCTGATATATATATATATACACACACATACATACATATACACACACATATATATTCTGGTTTATTAGGGGCCAAAATTAGTATCAACTGTGTGAGAAAATAGGCTATAAAATCATCAAGTCTGCTCTTGGTCAGGGGCCGTATCTCTTTTTAATCAGAACAATGAATGCTATCTTTACAGAATTTATTTTTTATTAGAAATGGGTTTTCAAATTTGATATTAGATAAATATTTCAGTCATGTCTTTATTTGTCAGAAATAAATCTCATACATACATATTGACCAGTGTGCTACATGGGGTGTTTGGCTGTTCTGCAATATGTAGATAAAGCTAAAACAACAATCAATTTACCATTCAATGAATCATGAAATCACAACATATTATTCCCACACTCTAAACATTTACTAAACATACTACTCATGTACAACATATATCAAAGTTCCAGAAAGTACCATATTCCTCATATATAATAAGAGGACGCTAAATAAAAATTAAAAACAAACGAGCACTCATATAAAACTGTCAAACAATATGGCATTAAATATTAGTTCAAGCACCATCCTAATGGCTATTTCATAAACCTATTAATCAAATTGTTTACAAGCATTTCCTGGCAGTATAGTGAATTCTATTACAAACAGCGCTAGCCACAGTGAAATGGTCATTTTCTATGTCCTTCATACCCTAGAGATTTGTTGTCTGCTAAATATTCAAGAGAAGTTGCAACCCTAATACAGTGTGCTCTAAAAGTCTGCTTGAGTGTTTTACCCTACATGATTAAAATCATTTAACAGACATTTTTATTTATTATTCACTTTTAGATTGATATCACCCAAACTCACAATGTGGCTGTTTCTTTAAACATTTTTAAGCAGCACAAAAATTGTTTATTAATGATCGTCTAAGTTAAAAAAAAACAGTAGTAGACACATGTCTACAATTTGGAAAGACAGTTGGGACCTAGAGATTAGCAAAAAAAATCTTCCCAGAACTTACTGTCCAGCACAAGATGACAAGGGACAGAGCAGTCCTCAGCAGCCATTCATCAACCAGCTTGGAGAAGGGATGAGGGAGGAATATGGAGCAGAGGCATGGCTTGCCTGTGCTTGTGTGTTTGTAAAGACACACACAGCGTATTAGCACACACAAGGGTGGCTTCATAGGAACCTTGCAAGTGAAAGGAGCCACACTAAATCAGGATATCAGGGTCGGTGCTCAGGGGACCAGCTGATACTACGGGAAACTAAAATTTTGAAACATGAAGGGACCGCATCAATTGTAAGGGATTTAATCAGTATTTGAAATAAGCTTAAAAACATTTTTACTTTAATATCACTGTGACAAAATAGCAAGAATGCAGGAACCACATACATTTAGAAGTCCCAGTGAGAACCCCATCTACCCCAAATGCCAGGGTAGATTTGGGGTATTGGTATTTCCTGGTTTAGTTCTAAGCTGGTCCACCACTGCCATCCGTGCCCTCACTGGCCAAAAGGGAAGCAAGAAAGATAAGCAAGTGTAAGGCGAATTCAAAACTAATTTGGGAATTGTTGATCTGTAGAAAGTACATGTTTGAACACCATCATAGCACATATTTAAATTGAAAGGTGTACTTTCACTATTTATCTGCAAAAGATGATATCTGTGATTACCCCAAAGGACCACCCTCTATTGGTATAAAATTTACCAATAGCAAATTCAATGAAAATGTCGTAGCACATGGCTGTTGGGAACACAGCTGCTAATGCAGTATGTGTGCTCTTTTATCCTCCCTCTTTACTTTTAGCTTGCTTAAGTCAAACTAAATGGGTCAACATCTCACATCATAGTCAAGCAACTGTACATGAAGGAAGCAATGCAGAAAGGCAGAATTTACTTTTCTGTACTAATTTTCCAGTCAGTAGTAGCCAGAATGCCAAAGTATAAATAGAAAAGGTCGACATAGGACAATAATTTATCAACATAGATAGAACTCAGCACTAAGACCTAGTGGTTTGTACTCACTCATGCACAGCCCTTGTATCTTTTCAGTGTTCATTTCAAACGCTGGCCTGAGAAAACCAGTACCCAATGTGTTCATATAAAATTGATTGATAACAGTTTGTCCTTTACAAACAAACAGTTGTAAGTGAATACACTGGCTCTAGCAATGGATCGGATTCCAACTGTAATTTTCCTAGTGCCTGTTACAGAGACAAAATTGCTTTAGGCAACAATAACACCTCTCTTTTGGTCATTAGTTTGTGTCTTGCTAATGCACATTTCTAATGATAGAGAGCAATGTACTAAATAGCCGATTTTCTATTAGACAATGAAACGTGCATGTTTTGGATCTGAATAAAAGCAAAACCAAGGGGCAACAGTATCTTTTCATTATAGACTCTGAACCAAGGCATCAAATAGAGAATAAAAGAGACAAAATGTGCTATTTAATTCTTGCTGTTCTGTCCCAGTTTTCTTAAAAATCTCTGGTAAACACGAATTAAATCAGATGCAAAAAGCTGAATTAGAAACAGAAAATTCTCTTTACTGATTGCTAAAGGTTGTGATTTTAAGAGAGCTTTTAATGTCCCTACATCTTCCCATAAAGATTTGATTATGCACAACATCAACACACTCTGTGAACAACTGTATAACATAATCTCACGTTACAAAAAGCTCCTAAAATTTCTATAAAATCACGAAATTAAAAAATAAAAATAAATCCACCAAAATCCAACATGTTGCAATTAGCAATTTATCCTAAAAGAATGATGGCCAGAGCTTGAGGCAAAAGGTTCAATTTATCAAATTGCTAATCTTGATGAAAGTACAATTTTTGGGGTCGGGAAAAATTGGTGGCTTCTTAAGGTATGGTTATCAAAGTTGTTCCAATCAATGCTCCACTTAGAGAATGACAAATCAGCAGTGCCGTGTTCCTGTGTATAATGAGATTATGTTTCATGTCTGTGATAGACTTGACTTTCACACCATGGAGCACATTGAACTCACCTGATGACAGACTGTCAGGACAAAAATAGAATGCTGTTATCTTTAACTCCATCCTCTGTGGAATGTTCTCCACATAAATTTCACCCTCTGCACCAGTAGGAAGATTTCCTAAAGGCTAAGGTGGCTGCTGATTCTCCCTGATCTCTGCTGAATATTATAGACCAATGGCTTTCACATTGTAAAAAAAATATGTAATAATTAAATATCAAAACAACAGTGTATACTGAATAACATTTACAGAAGATCTGAATTAGTTTGCGTTTGAGTTCCCTTATAAAGCCACTCTAAGCAACAAGTGAAAGAATTTGTTTAACTGCTTATGCTTTGCAGGAGTCATTGCAACTGTGTTAAAGTCAAAATTACATACAGTTTACTTTAAAATGAACCTGTGGTTAAGTAAATGAGCTCAGAGAATATGTGCATTTTTACAGTATCATTATATCTACAATAAGACTCAGTTGTACAGTATCCACATTAAGCTAAGGTACAAATAAAACAGTAAAACAATGACAGTCTCATGGATTCATTTTGCAAACATACACAAGCAAATCTGGTCAGAGTATAAAAGGGATCACATAAAGAGAATGACCCAAGTAATAGTTATCCATACCGTAGAACACAAAATAATTGTAAAATAAAAGGGTATTATTGTAGGTTGTTGGTGAATGTAGATTTTGTACTGGAGGGTGGCTACTTTTATTCTCCATGGGCCCTGTGTGTGTTGTAGCCACTGCTCCAAGCTCGCTCCCATGATGGACTACAATCTCACGTTTAGTTTACTAAATTTGTATTGAGATAAGTTTCAGTTATCATAAATTACCTTCCCATAGGAAAGAATTGGATTAGTTAATACTAGTCATTTGGCCACCATGGGAATAGATTAATTCATTCACGTAATTGCCACCATCTCGCAGGCCATAAATAAGGTTTACCGTAAGAAAATTCTGGTATGATGTGGCCACAGCTCTTCATCCATTATTACAAATATACAAATCTCAGTAGTGCACAGTATAGGATCTTTATGTCAATCAGACCAATACGTGGATATTAGTGGGCAAGACTATAATAAGTGTACAAATTCCACCTGTGGATGAGTATATCTCAGGCAATTTGTGGTACTCAAATGACCCATTTTATGTAGGCAGATGGGAGAAAGGTTTTTCCTATGAACTATGTGCAACTGAATTAGTTTAATACTATTTGCTGGTAAGACTAAAGTATAAGAGGAATAGATAGATATCCTCCCAATCTTACTATGGTATACTGGAAATAAGGGCTTGCCATTGAGCTTCAACCGCCAAAGTGCACTCCACAATTTGGTTATAAGGGAGGTGAGAATATAAAATAGGATTCATACCTTTAGTTAGAATAGAGCCATCCCTATGATGAATCTTGAAGATAGAGATAATAGCCTGTTGTTGTCTAGTAATGTATGCAAGAAGCATACTAGACTGATTTCTGTATTCAAAGTGTTTTTGTTTTCATAAACAGCTTATGTCTGGCATTTTCATGTATCCTGTTTAAATGCAGACATGAGACACTCTCCCGTGCCAGGCAGTTGGCCTTCATAGGACTAGATATATATGGCATCTCAGTATCCTGATAGGCTTTAGCAAAGTCTTCATATGCGTGGTGCACGGACCACTGAATATACAAAATGGTAGATTTCAAGGCTCCTTGAAGTAAACCCTTGAAGGTATACCAAAAAATATTATAAGTGGTAGGCATGTTCCCATGGGCATCTAGAAGAAGTTAAAGTTAGTCAGGAATACAGTCATTTAGTACAATTAGATCCAATCAGAAGAGATGGATCTTCTATTAAGATCCCCTGGAGTGAAAGT